AGTTGTATCGTGCATTAAGGGAAATGTATCAAGCCGCCGTACTATAGAAATATATATATATATATGCGAACGTAAAATAAACGTAAAACGTGTATATACGTGTAAATGTAAAATAAGCGTCGATCAAAAGGCATCACGTCGAATGTTGCGAGAAACAAAACGATTAAAGAACAAGGCCGAAATGGCAATTTGCGCATATGGAGAACCTTGCTGCGTACTACAAACCAGGCGTTTTCAGACGGTACGACTCAATAATGTAATGTCCAAACGGATATAGTCGTTCGAGGCGATGACGCTAAGTATAAGCGATACATCAGTCTGTATAAGCGAAAATCCATTTGATCGTCGACGTTGATGAACGCGTTGTAAAGCGGCGTGTACGATCGTGCAAGCCGAGCTATTCGCGTGTACGAGCGGGATGCACCTAGATGCAGGGGTACTCAAACTGTGCGACGATGGTATTCCATGAAAACGAAACCTGGGAATTCTTTATGTTGAAATCCGAAAAAATATAATTTAGTAGATGATCCAAGACTCTCTAATTGTCGTGATATATACAGCGTCTCTTATTTTTATCGCTCGATTGAAATTCGCTTTTATCGGCCTGAATAGATTTCTCCATAAAATTTTATATATAATACATCCTTGATTTTATTTGAATTTAAATTTTCATCAAATTTTACGTACAATATATTCGACTTTAATTGTGAAAATCAGAATATTTCTCTACAGTATTATAATAAATACTTTAATACTTCTCTCAAGTATCACGCAAATGCGTAACTTTTACGGTAATGTACAAACATATTTTCTTCATATATAATAAAGTTAATAGATGTAACGGACATTTACGTACCAACGTACTTCATTCTCATAAAATATAGTAGTGAATTAAGATGCAGACGCGTCGGAAGCCGCATTTGTGGTGTCGGCCGGCCGCGTTTCCGCGTCCGTTGCCGTTGGTCGCTCGTCGATTCGCGCTGGCCATCATCGTCGGTCGCGCAAAAATTCCGCGGTTTGAGAACCCTGGGGTCCATCGATGTGTAGGGCACGGTACGGTACGGCAAGACAGCCGGTAATTTCGTCGTGCGACATTGGCCACGCCGCGGTTGCGGTACCAGCTTCGGCGGCGCAGCCGCCTGCCATAGCGCACACGACGATTATGCCGGCCGCTTCTCACTCTAAGAGAAGTAATAGCAATTTCTATCTGCGCGGCAGCCGCAAGAAGTAAGTATGCCGATCGCCACAATGTAGTTTTACACGTCGGAGGCTGGTCGAACGCAGTTACCGGATATCGCATTTGCCTGTCGGGTCGAAGGGCGGCGGGTCCGCGATTAACCGCGCAGGAAATCGATCCCGCGAGAAAAATGCAGCCGCGGCGGAATTCGCTTGTATCGGTTTATTGTGGGTATCTATCGAGGAGAGAAGGAAAAGAAAGGAGAGGAAAAGGAGATCGCGGGAGCCTTAGAAGCCGCTCTCTTTTCACTTTGGATCGTAAAAATTTATTGATCCGCGGGAAATCGTCCTGTAAACGATAGTCATTAACGAATCGTTAAATTCTTTTTACGATTAGATTGCCACGAAAACGGCTGCGGAGAAATCCTTCGTGTCGCCGCGGGAATGTGAAACGATGTGTTAAGCGTATATATTCCGGTGAGAAAGAAAAGTAAGCAAGAAACTCTTTGTCCAGTGTCAGGGTCATTATGTTTTTATATATCTTCGAGCGTTCATAAATCGAACGGGCGATGACAGGCTCGCAGGCAAACCTTCCGATTTAATTTAATTAACCTTAGAAATTAAATAATCCCTGACTTTATTCACCCCGTGTTGCGTGTCGCAGTCTTGAGGAGAAAGTCTGTAAGCGTGAATTTGGTTTTATATCGGAATAAAGTCCGATGATGATCCCACACGTTATTACCGGACAATGTGAACTAATCCCAATACCTAAGCTTCGTCGAAACGGAACGCAGAGTTAATCGAATAATCCGCAATAAGACACGGCACGTTTGTTTTCAGCCTCACTCGAATATCCCTCCCTTGTGAGTCTTATTTAACGCCGAGCGGCATTCTGTCGGTGGTTTTTGCGTGATTACTGCCATCCATTGAGCGAAATCCTCGCCTTGCCTCTCGTGTGACAGTTTTTGCGGTAAACTCCGCGAGAACGTGCTCTCGCTGATCGCACCTCTGCCACGGGAAAACCTTAAAGGTCTACTTAAAGGACTGGATCCATCAAGGGAACTTGGTCGGCTTCGCGGAAGAGGCGTGTCGCGCACGTACGGATGAATCGCCATGTTACATCCCTCACGAATGGACTCAATTACACGTGCCCACAATCCGACGAGAACATCTGTGTTTTTCAACCGCGCGCTATTCGCAATGGACGCTATTACGGATGAAGGTTGAAACTGAGTCGTCCGAATTTTCAACATAACTAATACGTAAGACGATTGTAATTATGTTAACATCGATAAGATATGGCTACTTTAATTACTGAGAAAATATTTTGGATATTTGTGATATAATTATACAATAATTGTAATTATAATTATAACATGTTATCATAATTACTGTTATAATGTCGGTAATAACTATATACTGTATATACGACTATTAAAAAATAAACAAATGACTGGAAATGACTATAGTTGTCATAAATATAATTATCATAAAAATGATTGCAATTGCTATATATGTAATTTAACTGCAATTTTGAGTCATTTTTTATGCACCATATTTTATATATTCTATTTACATTTTATATTCTCAGAAATGATTATAAATTATTATGATTAAATTATGATTAAATTGTAGAAATTGCAATCATTTTCATGGTAATATGTAATGACTATTATTATAGTCATTTTCGATTATCAATTATATTTATTGATAGAACTACACATATAATTATTGTTACTAACATTATAGCAGTAATAATCATAATTAATGTATAATTATATTATAGTTACAAATACAAAATTTTTCTCTCAGTGCACACACGAGCATGAAAAATAAATAGACTGAGTACTTTGTTGTTTTTAGCGAAAGCTTCGTGAGAATGAGAACGTACATGGCAAATAAAACATGATATAATATTATAATAGACGCATAGTTAAATGACAGCGTAAAGAAGTAATTAGCGAATAGCAAATTCACTATATAAACGAAAAAATATTTGTGTTGCACAGATGTGTTACCAGAAATGTTTATTAATTTCTTTAGCTGTGTCACACGAAAAAGCACTTTCGAAATTACCGACAAAGAGCACTTGTAGTCATAAATTTTGTATTTTATCTTTGATTTCTATAGTTAATCCATACATAATAACGCCTAAAAAGATATACAGAATTGTCCGAAAATGAAGAGAAACGAAATTAATGAGTATGCGCCGCTCACACACATGTATTATACATCGTCTAATTAACATGCTAATTTACAGATAGACTTATCTTAAGAATGAGTATGAGATGTTGTTGAAATAGACGCGGCTTATGTGAAAGTAGGAGTTAATAACTTAACGGACATGTAAAAGAAAGATATAGAGATTTCCGATTTGGGTGGTCTGGCTTTTCAAACTGTATCTCTATTTATTGATATCCCTACAAAGGGTATAGATAATATCGGCGATATCTGAACGGTGAACCAGGCAGAAGCCTCTTTGAAATATTAGCTGGAATTTGTATCTGAACACGATCGACAAGAATTAGGCTATTAAGCTATCTTTCTTACCGATCCTAATTCGAAACTGATTTAGATAAAACATATTGAGGAAAAAATATTTGTTATTTGTGACTAATTGCGTAGTAAAATAATTATGATTAACTCCATTTTTATCATTATTACTGCTATAATGTTCGTAATCATGATTATAGTCATAGTAACCGACAGTAAGTGAATACATGTAGTTCGTATTTGCAGTTTTGTATATCAAAAAATGTATAGTATTGTTGAAAACGACTATAAATTATACGACTATAATTATTTTACCATGCATTTATAGATATAGTCATAGGTATAAAATACTTTCTTTTACAATTAGTGCGATAGTCTGAAGTTCTTACAGCTGAATTTCATTTCTTTCTGAAAGTCAGATAAAAAGGATTGACTTAAGACAAATGTAAGTTGGATCTATAAATATGAAAAATTTATTAAACGTATTACTAAAAGTTATATTCAGTGAATCTTATAGATTATGCATTTATTCTATTTTCTTGCGCTCTGGATCCTTTATCTAAAAATAAAAAAAAAATTAAAACTAAGAATATGATCGAATTATCAGATCCACTTAGCACAAACTATTATACTTTCATTAGCCTTCTATCTTCTCTGCGGGACGTGTCCTCTCATCTGTAGCAATTTAAGGATCGTAATGCGACTGGCTATCCCTCAGCGTAGAAATGCTTCCCTTTATGTTTGTTTTTAGCCAACCGGTACTTAATCGCGACGAAGAAGAGCAAACGAAATGTCGTCTTGCGTGTATAGCGTAGAGAAACGCGGTGTGTGTCTCTTAGAACACCATCGTTGCAGAAGTAGCAGAAGTTGTTCCTCGAAGAGAACAGAACGAAGCAGAACGGAGTAGAGCGGAGTAAATGCAGAGCGTCCTCGGTTTGCCAGCTCGGGGGGCCCGAGGCCCGTCGCGGGGCACGCATACGCGGAACCGGGCCCCGCGTATTCCGACGGTGAGGCCCACGGGCGAAAGGCGTCAGACCCCGACACGCCGCACGTATTAGAAACGAATATAAATATATCGAGAGGAGGAGCGAGAGACAGAGAGAGAGAGAGAGAGAAGGAGATTCTTTGGCGAAGAGGGGAGATTGCGTGCGTATTGGTAACGTCGGAGAGTTACACGCATTCGCACGCTCGCTCGCTCGTTCCTCCTTCCTCCTTCCTCGCGCGGGGCCGGCATTCGCTTGCGGGCCCCGGCTTATTCCCCTCACGTCGCGTGTCCCGCAGACACGGGGGCCCGCTGAGTCCCAGAGTATGCTCAGTGTCCGCTCGGCCTCAGCACGCCCCGTGCCGGTAGAACGAAGGACGATGACGCCGCCTCGCTGAAGGCTTTAATGCGCGTCGCGTCGCATCGCGCGTCAATCGCATTCCGTCATGTTTTCTACGATCGCGTCACACGACCTAATCGTCGCGACGAAGTTTCCACCAGGGTGTCATTCGGATTTCCCGTAACTGAAAACGGATGTGATCAACTCGCGGAGACCACGCTCAGAGGAGTGCTCCGAAGAACGGAATGACGCTTAGCGACGAAACGGACCGGATCCCGAATAATCGCTGATCATTCCGCGCAACACGCTAATCGTTCGCAGCTGTCATCCGCGCATACAAGTTTCCACGCATCTGCTGCAATCAGGTCCTGAGAAGGAGCTGAACAAGTTCCAGATCGCATATCTCGGGCTGTTCGACCAATCGTGTTTGTACCGCGCGATAGGTGTCGCGTATTAAAACGTTAATCCGTGCTGTACTACCGGTTATACGTACAAATTAGTCCTCATCCCTCCGGTCTGTCTTACCCACTCTATTTCTTGCCAGCTATCTGTCTTTCTTTCTCTCTCTCTCTTTTTCTTTCTGTCTTTCTCTTTCTTTATCTTTCACGATTCTTCCCCCTCCCCCCCCCTCGCGATCCTCACCTCCTACGGCGACTACTTTCGCCGGAGCGCACTCGATCCTCTTCTCCCTTTTCTTGTTCTCTTTCCGATCACTCCGCCGTCCCTTGCTGCCTCTTCCTCCCCCGCCGCCGTCGTCTCTATTGCCCTTATTGCTTGAGAGACCAAGATCGCGAGGTTTGCTCGCGTTTTGCGAACGCGCGTGCCAATCGAGAGATGAACGGGCGGCGCGATGAGTCCGATCCTACCGGTGGCGAGACGCTCGCGAGACGCTCGCGAGACAACGACGACGATAACGACGACGACGACGACGACGACAACGACGACGACGACGACGACGATATTACATCGCGCGATTGAATTCTCCATTCTAACGTCCGTTCCGTTCGGCACGAGACGCTTCTACTCTGACGAGGTATCTTTGTATCGTGAGACGTCTTCCTCTCACACGAAATGTCGATTGTATTTCGCGAATTTTCTCATTTCCTCCCTATGTTCGTTCTGCATCGGCGCGAGGAGAATGACATGCAGCGATGGACTCCGACATGATGTTTCTACGAACGCGGGCGTTGTTGACATATCGTGATAACGGAGAGAACTGCAACGGAAGGTATGTCGGCGAACAGATCGGGAACGCTGTTTCCCGTGATCTCGGACTTCGTTTCGCGAAATTGCTGTTGTGATCGTCAGTTGTTATAAATACGCTTGTGGAGAATTTGATTTGTAAGAAGTGAAGCTTTCTTCAATCTCCGAGGAGACAAACCACTGGATTTATTGGTTTAACTTAATCCTTGATTCCTACCTTTGTGGGTTGGAAAAACATTCTGGAGAACAAAAGAAGAAGAAGAAGAAGAAGAAGAACAGATTGGCAAGTCTTTGTGGCGATTGACAAGAATGCATTCGGAGAAAAGCTGAAGTGATAGACCACGACGTCTTGGCGACCGATTAGTGTCTATTGATCAGTTAAATTGACGTGAAGGAAAAAGTATTGATGAGAGATAAAGTGAAGTATATCTCATTAAAGCTTCGCCAAGAAGACTCCGAATATATCGCCACGAAAATATCGCTCGTGACGGACAAACGCCTCTTTGACGAGCCATTATTTCTAGGAAAGCCGGAAAGTCAGGCTCCAGACGCAATCAAGAGCGTATACCATGGGAGGCATTTAATACGTTTATACCCGGCAGAAGGGTTCTACGTGGGAGCAAAAAGCCCAGTGTGTCTCGAGTGCCCCGAAGCGTCGTCTTATTAGCTTTTGCGAGAGAACGGGCGGCGGTGGTCGCGAAAAGGGACATAATATACCGTAGGGGGGGGGGGGGGGAAGGAAGGAAAGAGGACCCCGCCGGCGTTCCCTAGATTAGAAGGTCTCGGCCACGGCGATTATTACCGTCGGACTGGGGTTACGCCGTAAAGCACACGGTGGAAGAAACCGCCGGTGGAAATCGATCTTAACGACCACCTCGTCCTCGTCGGTCGTCGGTCCGGATGTGGTTGTCGCTGCTCGTCCATTGCGTTTGCCGCCATTCGTCGCGTAAGAAGCATGTCGAGCTTGGCACGGAGAAGACGCACTGCGGTGCTCGGTTCGAAGCGATGGTGGCAAGGCGGTTGCTGGGCCACCAGGAGCCACCAGGAAGCGTACTTGCGCAAGCTCTACGGCAGGAAGAACAATCAAGATGCCAGGAATAGTGGTAGCCAAAACGACGAGGACGTCGCAGCGCGTACCGCCGGTATAGATGCACCTTGGGCGACGCCCGGTGTTTATGATCTTCCAACCATTACCGACTCGGAGCATCACTACCTGGATGCATTTTTGAGAAATCGCGAAGACGGCGCGAACGGCAACAACGACGATGTCGACGATGTTGTCGCTGTGGTGGTTGGGTGTCCGGCGTTGGCGACGTCGCGCGCGAGTCCGACGGAGAAGTGCGTGGAGTTCCTGAAGGGCGCTCATCACGACGACGGAATCAATTTCGGTCGCCGTGCCGCGGTAGACACGGAATGCGGCCGCGTAGCCGATTGCGGTTCGATGCATTCGAGTTACGATGCGGCCGCTGGTTGTCCCGAGTAAGTTGCCACTGTCGATGATGGAAAGAAATGTTTTCTGATACTTTTTTCTGCGGACGTAAAACTGTTCTTTACGGAAAAACTCAAGGAATTCACGTTATAAAAAAAAAAACAACGTGTGTTGTGGAAAAATGGAGCATTTATTTTGAAATCTAAGTGAAGAATCTGTGCATATGTATTCTTACATTGAATGTGTGGAATATTTCTCATAAAGATCCAAAATTTTTAATGTTGAAGTGCCAGTTTTTTCCAAATTATACTAATAAAAATTATGAATTTTTTGTAAATTCTATATTTTACAGGCAAAGTAATATTTTATTTTATATCTAATTTTTAAGTATAAGTTTAATTTGAATTACAAAGTGATTTTTAAGTTTGAATTACGAAGTGATTTTCAAGACATCTAATCTTAACATTACGGGACAATATTTTACTAAAGTATAATATATCTAACTCATATTCATTTGTTTTCATAAAAATAAATATATCGTAAAAAATTTTTTTCAGTTTAAACGCCAGATATTAAGAAACATAACAGTATTAAGCAAATATACATATTTTTATTAATAAGAAAATAATACATATGCATAAGTTGCGATGGAATCAAGCGACATATTCATAGAAATTAAATTTACCAGCCAGAAATTTAACGATGCGAATATTTTGAGAAGTAAAAATCATATTCCATATGTGAGCCATTATTTGTTTTTATTATCTCGTCTACTTTCACGTAGATTTATCTAGAACACAATTTCCTGTTTAACGGTCCAATTTATCATCTTCGATGCCGGAAAACGACATATTTGCACAGCTCACAGCGAAACTTGTATTAATCACGAATCGTTTCTCAACTGTACGGTGGAAAACATCCTCATATGAACGTTTTGATAGCTTAAGTGCTCGTTGATCCAGAACATGTGGAACAGCACGTGCAGTTTCTTTACATGCTTGCGGAGCGAAAAATTTTAGATTGAATCGTATCGATTTATTCAAGCGAGGAACTAAGTGCTGTCAGCGGTAATATGTATAGTTAGAGAGTAATAATTCATCATTCATTCTATTTTGTCGTACATCGTATTCAATTACTCTCGTTACCGCGCGTCCCCAATTATCTTCTTATATCCTCACATATGTGAGACACACTAATAAGCGTAGAAATATGGATTAAATGGATTAAACAGAATTTCTAGATTCTGTTGGACATATTTGGGATCTTAAGTTCTACATTTCAGAATTCTAGGCTACCCTAAGTCAGGTAGATTTTACAGAATTTAGGTCTGTAATTAGATACAATTCCAGGCTTTAATAATAGGAAGATCCTAAATTGTAGGTCTGTAATTTCAAGGAAACATGAACGTAGAAACACAATTGCACTGTTCCTTAAGGATTCCTCCCGTGAGAATCCTTTTACATCTATTTTGAGATCTTAACTTTATATACATATATATATATATTATATTATATATGATAAATTTATGTGTATAGATTAGAATGGCTTAACTGAAATAAATCACCAGGACTACGAGCCAGTTAAAATTAATAACATTTAATGTTTAAAAATAAGTTAATAAAAAGTACAAAACGTTTCGACGCCGATCGGGTTATTTTCAATGTTAAAATAATAATGTTACAATATTAATGTCGGATTCTTATATTACAAAAACAGTGTTCTGTATGTTACGAAGTAGATTTTAAAAAATGTACATATGTATCCAATGCTTATGTCTTCCTTCTTTGTTACAAATATGTGGTCCATTAAAATACTGAGATCAAAACCTGATCAATACATTATGTCAATTAATTTGGAAAAATATTTAGATATAAATATTACTGAAATAACATTATTCTTATGAATATCTTTTTCTTTTTACAGGAAAGTGTGCAGGAGCTGCAGGTGCCCGCGAGAGGAACACCAGCGGTCTTCGACGGAGGCGGGCGGTCCTTCGGGACTCGGTCTGGGTCCAGGTCCGCCGATGGCGATGGCCATGGCCTTTCCGAGCGGCGCCGAGGGCGCGCCTCACCAGGAGCCGTTCAAGAGCCCGGTGCAAGCTGCGCCGGCCGGTCTGGCGCTGCAGGAGGCTCTGATGCAGCATCACCAGAGGCACTCGCAAAGCGACGACGACAGTGGTTGTGCGCTCGAGGAGTACACGTGGGTGCCACCCGGACTGAGGCCCGACCAGGTAGAATGACAGATTTATTTTATCTTTCCAAAGATTGCTCTCTGCCTAGAGATGAGTTTTTAGGAGCGATACGATTTATTTTAGATTCCACTTTTTTTTCATTTGATAATAAAATGTATAAGCAAAGCTTCGGCACTCCCATGGGCTCTCCTTTATCACCTGTAATAGTGGACCTAGTAATGAGGAGACTAGAGATGGTATCTTCGATGTCGTTGGATTTGGATATTGTGTTTTATTACAGATACGTAGATGACATTTGTATCGCGGTTTCTCCCTCTAAAATTGATGATTGACTAAAATCATTTATTTCATTTTATTCGCGTCTCCAATTTACTACAGAAATAGGAGGAGATAAAATTAATTTTCTGGATGTCACTATATCTATCAATGGGAACAGTTTTATTTTTTATTGGTACCATAAGCCGACCTTTTCAGGGAGGTTTTTGAATTTCTAATCATCCCATGGCACAAGAAAAAGGGACAATTTTTTCGCTAGTTGACAGAGCTTTATCTAACTTTATATTTCATACACAAAATTTGACATTTGTTATTAACATTTTATTAGATAATGACTATTATTGACCATTGACTTTTATTTTTGACAGTTAATCAACGTATAAAAAATTTAATTAAAAATAGACATACAACACAGAAAGATTTGGCTGACAATGTCTGCGAGAACGAATCTGCTTCTTGGCTTACGGTACCATTTATTTCTTTTCACACGGAAAAATTTAAACGGTTCAATAAAAGTGATCTTTCCATAGTCCTAATAAAATGGGCAAATATATAAGAGTACAGAAGGATATTTGTCCACATACATCGAAGAGCAATGTAGTCTACAAGATATCGTGTAATAAATGTACGTTGGACAGACGGGCAGACAATTAAAAACCAGAATTACAGAACATCGCAATCACATTAGACATAACACTTCTATCCGTCCTCATAACGGAACACAGGCTACAGTATGATCACGATTTCCAATGGAATAAGGTTAAAATTTTAGATGAAGAGCCTTGCTATAGGAAACGCTTAATTTCCGAAATGCTCAATATTAAAAAGCAGAAAAATAGTTTAAATTTACAAACTGACACTGAAGATATATACACCTGACTTCACAAGATATACCTATATACCTATTGTAAATAAAGTTTGACTTTTCGATACTGACAGTCCGTCTCTTTTTTTAGTCCGTGGTGATCCGTATCAGCGAGCGTACATAATAATCGATACACAATGTCCGTCTTACACATCTGCGTTCCACTTAACTTTATATATTCTAATGGTTTTTTTATACTTATATGGACACACTTGTTTGAATAATTTATATATGATTTTTGGTGAGTTTTAATTACTTATTAGAATTCCGATATGTTAATTTAGTTGCGTTTATTTTTTCGTAAGAAGTCTTTTTATCTTTTTTATCAACTATTTGAACTTTTTTAAGAGATATGAAACACATTTGACTGTTCAATCGTATGTGAATAATGTCGGGTTCTACAGGGTGGGCCATCTATTGGTACGTTTTTAAAAATGCGATCAAATGAGCATACATTGATATTTTTTATTAATTTTTTTTTTGTTGTGAAGCTAAAAGTATCCGCGTCAAGAATGAAAAACGATTTCGTTCATGTGGCTCCCTCT